ACTTATTAAACAAAAAAAAAACATTTGTTTTTATAGTTAACCACCACTATTTACAAAAATAGTATATTAAGCATCAAGAACGATAAGGACATTTTACCGATCGAAGACATTTGTCTCTGAGATCGGTAGTACTTAACGTTCATGATGCTTATAACGTTTCTTGCACGATAGAAACATTTTTACCTTGCTCTTAATAAATTATTTAAATAAAAATGTCAATTGTGTCATTTCATTTTTACCTAAAGTGTCTCCACGGTGTTTCACGAATTGTTATAAATTGAATGAATTATTGTTAACAATAGTTGAGGTTGATGTCGCCTAGACGAAAGTTTGTTGATAGTTTGAAAAAATACACCTTTGAAAAAACAGCTTAGAACATTTCATTAGTTTTCTCAAGAAAAATGTGTAATTCAGACTCCGACGGTGTAGGCAGTGAAGCCATTGGGCAAGCTTGGAACATTGGTTGTTCATCAGTTCATCTCTAATTCCTGAAAAATCAAGATTTTGATATGAAAATGCCTATAAAATCTTTAAAAGCTGGTGTGAGGAACAGAGTTGTGAAATTAGTGAAAAAATTATTGGAAAAAACTTCTGAAGACGCCGGAGGATTTACGTTGAATTCAGCAACAGTTTCTGATAGCGCTACCATCAAAGAAGCCAGTAGAATTAGGTACAATTAGTAATGGGGTACTATACTATAATTTTTTTGTCTAAGTTAAATCTACATAAAAAAAACAATATACTTACCCGTGTTTTTTGTTTTTTGCGAAAGCGTGCATTCAAGGCGGAAATTTTTTTTGAAGTTGGTGAAACATAAATACACTTTCAAACACACCATATTTGCGCCAAGTGATCACGTGAGCAGACCCTGACGAACGCGCAAAATCAGCCAAAGCCGAAAGCTCTAACCCAAGCTCCAGTCTGCGATGCGATGGAAAAAAGTCGTCGGTAAGAGAGACAAAATAGCGCTGCGTTTGCTGATTGGACGAGGAGACCCGAAGTCATCAAACGCGCATTTATAATACCGTTCGAATGTAGTGGATCAAAAACCACTTGTTTAAATCACATTTATCAAAAAAAATACAGCTTAATTGAAAATCGATTTTTAGTTATATTGCTATTTAACAACGAAGAATAATATAAACCAAAATTTTGCCTTATTTTTTTTATAGTATAGTACCCCATTGTAGTGCTTGTACGTTTAATTTTGATATAAAATAATTTGTTGGGAATATAATGTTCATAATATTGTTTATGCTATGAATAAATGTTTGTGGATTTTATCTGATTAATGTTTGATTCATAATATTGTTTATGCTATTAATAAATGTTTTGTGGATTTTATCTGATTAATGTTTGAAATTACTTACCGTTCTAAAACAATTTACCGTTATGATTATCATGGAAACCAGTAAATACAAAATACCGGTCTCGAAATAAACGCGGTAACTAACTAAAAGCGTTCTATCGTACAAAAAATATATTTCTTTATTTAAAAATTATCAAAAAGATTTAAAACATATACAGGTGTTCCGTTTATATTGTTATAAATTTAAACAGAAGATAGAATATTTAATTTTAAACAAAAGTTTCCTATGAACATGTATCGAAAAATGTTATACGCAATCTACTCAAAAGGGTGCGTCATTTAAAAGGTTTTTATCAAAATTTCCGAAACCATTTTAGAAGAAAATACAAAATTTTGTTCAGATGATAACCTTTATACACCTGAACGAATTCGAAGATTAAATGTTGAAATTATTAATTAGGAGCTTCCTAAACTGGGTGGGTATAGGGTAAAAAGTTCTCTAACAATTTTGCCCATGGTTTATTGCCACTTTCTGCAATAAAATTCGAAAATTCATAGTTTTTCCGTTTCTCCGATACAACTTACCGATTTTGAGTAAAATCAGTTTTAAAACTTATGTTTCAAACCATAAACAGCATAAAAATTAAAAATTAAATTCGTTTTATCGTTTAGGACGCCCCTGATTAACAATTTCAACATTTCATCTTCGAATTCGTTTAGGTGTATCAGCTAATCCTAATTTTATCTATTCTGAAATTATATATTGGGAAAACCCCTTTAAAAACGCACTACTTTTAGGGGATATAGCTTCCTTACATAGTATTTTATTTTTCGAACATCTTTATAGGAAACTTTTGTTTAAAAATTAAATATTCTATCATCTATTTAAATTTCTAACAATAAAAAGGGAATACCCTGTATTTATATACAAAGCACTCTACGCAAAAACGCATTTTCTTAATTTTGATCAACATGTAAAATTTGATCATATCGTGTAAAACATCGTTGTAATCAGGAACAAAAATACATAAATCAAATATGGCGTCTATAAGAAAATCCAAAGTTGAGTGTTGTAACTCTGATATCAAGAGCGCCTTGGAAAATACGATGACAGATTTAGATTTCTTGTAAGAAGATGCCTTAAGAACATCCTAGTTAAAAACGTCTAGGTCTTTTACTTTTCGCTTGAAAAAATAAAAACCAAAATTACAAATTTGCGTTGCTTTCCAATAATTCAAAAACTAAAAATAACACATTAAATTTTCTTTCAGATAATTGTTCAGCAAAAACAAAAAAAACTTTGCTCTAATTTAACCGACCTCGTATCTCTTAGAATAACTGAAATCCCCATGGTGGAGCTCGAAAAATGAACAGCCCTGTATAATAACAAAGATATGATTTTTTTAGGTTTTGCTAAAATGTCAATTTTTGTCTATAAGTGGAAAACCAAAGGCGATGGCCGGATGCGGTTTTAAACAATATAATTTTCTCAACAAATGAACCTCAGAATGTATCACTCTTTGTTGGCTAAACCTTTTAGTTTCGGAGATTCGGACATCCAAAATGCCAATTTACCACTTATTTTTAAATATTTTCATTCGTTTCATGCATCTTGAAAAAAATTATGAGTATATTTTTAGGCACATTTTCAGTTTTTGTTGCGTCCTTCGTCCATTCCATGAAATAAGGGTTCAAGAATTTCTACCTAAAAATTTTGCAAAACATTTGGAGTTTTGCCCATGAGTTCTTGAAAAATATGACATAGACGAAATCTTTGTTTATAAAATCCTTTTTTACAAATGGATCGTCTTTTACAAAGAAGGGCATTTTAAATTTAAGGAATCCTCACCACTGGTCGCATGGCAATCTACATACAATTGTGGTAAATCTTACCCAATATGAATTTAGATTAAATTATTGGGTGGGTATTTTGGGCGTCCATATTTTACGAGGGACTGCCTCTAAATTTAAATGGTGTTCGGCGAAGCTTAAGGGTTGTGGAGCAAATAACAGTCGCTGTTGTACTATTATAAAAACTCGATTTATTATAAAAATAATTAGATTGTATACAATTTCCAACTTAAACTAAAACAGTAAATCTAAAACATTGGCTACCTTAATGATGAATTACCAATTTACTTTATAAAACTATATCGATGATTGTTTGTTTGTCGCTGGCATAATGACCCAATTAAGACATTCCGCTAATCGTTGCTGATCGCGCGGAAGTGTCTGCTCGGGTCGGTGCACTATTGCGACAAACTTGTCGAAATGTTAAATTTTATAAAAAAAATGAAAATTGTTCGTTTGAGCATCTTGCCGACCACAAAAGAAAAAAAAATGATGAAAAAACTAATTGACAACCAATACTTAAATTAACCTTTAACATTAACCAAATTCAATTACAAAAGTACTTAGATTGACTTAAAATTAATTAATGCTTTCCTAATTCTAACACTACCACTCGCTAAGTCGACACTGTGAACACATACACACACTCTAACGACGGGGTTCGGCGTACACTTGGTCGTTGTCAACTCGTAGGGGTTGAAGCTCGATCCCTTCATCCAGTTTTTGGCTTGGACCTTGAGCTGGTCTTGGATCCTGGGGTTGGCTTCTGCGCTGACGTGGTCGTCTGATAGCTTGACAGATGCGTTTTAAGCTATAGAACAAAATGCTGATTAGAACAATAATTACTAATATTGTTATGACACTTGTAATTATTGTGTGATGAGTGATGGCTTTCCAATGGACCTCTTGCAACTCTTGGTCCATTTCTTGCTCTTCGTTTTTCAAAATGGCCAGGTCGTCGGATGGTTTGAGGACGGAGACGGATGTGATGGCGGCATTGGCGGGCCTCTTGAAAGCCTTTGTTGTTTTCTGTTCTCTTGTACAATTCGTCGATAATGCAGTTGGGACTGTTTTCGATACTGCGCACATTTGATGGTGAGCAAACGTAACGATGATCTGAGACTAGAGTACTTTCTCTTAATTCTTCGTCTGTTACAAGAAAGTATCTTTGCGTATTATAGTCAACTGCTATAACATCATTTGGTACGTCTATACTCCAATATGACTCTTTGTCTTGTCTTTGTGTGGAATTGGAGTTCCCTTTAACAACATGAAATCTGCAACCTCTGACATTGTGAAATATCCGTACAAGTGGATAAATTGTTTACTGTGAGCTAGGTCAGTACGAAGGATGGGATAGGATAAAATTTTGATATTAGAAGGTAGTTTCTTTGAAGATGTAATTATTATGTTCTTGATTTGTGCTGGGGAAATGAATTCATACAGATTCGCTTGGTTTACATGCATGTTCAATAAACTTTTGTAGTGAGTTATGAGTTCGTCGAGAAAAGTGCTGGCTATTTGGTACGTGGCAATGTTGTGATCAACTGAGCTGTACCAATGCTGCATATTGTTTATCGCTGATAAACCTTGATTGAGCTTTTCCTGAAACTGATTCAATTTTTGGTAGATTTTAAACTGAAACTGATTCAATTTTTGGTAGATTTTAACTTCGGTGTCGTTGAACTTGGACAAAGCTTGAAGCATAAATTTCGTTTGGTGGTGTGACGCTTGTATAAGTTCCCTTTGGTTTTTGTCAAGGTCGCTTATATCTTTGTAAACTTCGTCATTTACCCCGAAGATTGAAGTCAACAGTGTGTTTAAGACTCCTCTTTTTTCTCTCTTTTTTAGAGAAATTTCTAAGCCTAGTTTGATCCAACTCAGTTCCTTTTCTTTTTCCTTTAACTGTTGGATTAAAGGTGAGCAGTCTATGTTATCTGCTGCAAATTCTAGGGTTTGATTACAAAAACTTTCCATGTTTTGAATTATTTTTTGGACGGTTTCTGTATCATTCTTGATTTTGAACTTTTGAAATTTGACCTCGATTCTGAATGTGCCTCTTTCAATTGTTGCATGTCCTATGTGCTCAATGAAAAATCCTGGTTGTGGATATTCCACATGGTATAACGAGGTTGTCGATGATGCTGCGGATTTGCCGATCGTTGTTAAGAATAAAATCGCGATCATTGAAGCTTTCCACAAAAAGTGAGCACTTCTTGAAATTTTTGGACGTCCTATTGAAGGTTTCTGACATACTTCCGGCGAAGTTTGTTCCGATTGGACAGGTAATAAAATCAGTTTGTGGATTGGTCTATCCATTGTTGTGCCTCCTTGTTTCTTGAGAGTAACAACTCGTGTCACGTTGTCAGGGTCAGGGTGAACCTTGATGATTCTAGCTAATGGCCAATTGCTTGCACTGACGTTTTCTTCTTTTAAGATGACCATGTCAACTACTTTTATGTTTTTGGACTGAAATTTCCAYTTGTACCTTTGTTGGAGTTGATGTAAATATTCCGAGTGCCAAGTGCTTTTGTTGACATGCATACAAAAATAGCTATGTAACCTTTGTATGACTTGTTTCCGCGGCCTTTGGTTGTCCGTACTTGAACTGGGCCCGCATAATCTATGCCAGTATGAGTAAACGCTGAGGTTGCAGTAACTCGAGCCACTGGTAGATGACCCATTAATTGTTCGCTTGTCTGTGCTTTGTATCGTATACATTTGATGCAATTATTTATGACATTTTTTATGGATCTTTTGGCATTGATGATCCAATACTTCCTCCGAACATAAGCTAATGTTTCTTGATTTCCTCCATGGAGGGTCACTTGATGTGCTTCTTTTATAATTAACTTCACCAAATGAGAATCCGAAGAAAGTATTATAGGATGTTTTTCGCCATATGGTAATAGCGAATGTTTTAATCGACCTCCTACTCGAAGTATTCCTTCATTGTCCAGGAAACGGTGAAGAATCGCTATTTTGCTTTGTTTATGGACATGTGATTGTTTTCTGAGATCCTTGAGATCTACACCAAAATCCATTTTTTGTTGTATCTTGATTATTCGTTTTTCCGCTTCTTGTAATTCTTGCACTGTGAGATGACCAGTTGAAGTCGTTGATGATTTTGACCTGCAGTAAGTGACGAATCTTCTACAATATGCGATCACTCGAATCATTTTAAGGAAGGACGAAAATCTCTGACATAATTCATTTTCGGCTGTAAATAAACACGTTATTGTGTAACATCGTTTTGCTTCTTCATTTGTTGTTTTGTCTGTGATTAAATTAGTGTTGTCTGGATACATGGTGTCTTGTAACCATGCCGGTCCTTTCCACCAAATTTTGTGATCCTTAAGTTTGGATGGATCGATTCCTCGAGAAACAGCATCAGCAGGATTGTGTTCCGTTCGTACATGATGCCAACATGATGCCGGAAGTCGCTTTTGAATTTCTGAAACCCTATTAGCGATGAAGGTTTTCCATTTTGTTGGATCKCCCTTGATCCAAGATAATGTGATCATAGAGTCTGTCCAGGCAAACGTTTTTGGATTTTCAATGTGAGGGTGTAGTGCAGTCAATATTCTGTTTAGGAGCTTGGACAACAATACAGCTGCACACAATTCTAATCGAGGCAACGTTGTCTTATTTTTTATTGGAGCAACTTTGGATTTGGCAGCTAATAACGTGATTTTTGTTTCTCCGGTTCCGCTGATTGTTTTCGTGTAAACTGCTGCACCGTAAGCTTTTTCTGAAGAATCACAAAAGCCGTGTATTTCAATCTTTCGGTATTTCCTATAGTTTATCCATCTTGTCAAAACAATGTTTTCCAATGTCGGCATTTGTTCCTTGAATGTTGTCCATCTTTCTAGGACGCTTTGAGAGATTGGTTCGTCCCAGGAGAGGTTTTGCAACCACAACTCTTGAATTAATAGTTTGGCTTTAACGACAACAGGAGCCWACCACCCTGCTGGATCAAAAAGTTTAGCAGTATCTGAGAGAATGGTGCGCTGGTGATTGGAGTGTTATTTGCTACGTTGACCTTGAATTTAATGGTATCGTCYCGAGGTGCCCAATAGATCCCTAACGTTTTCTTTGCATCGTTTTGTTTCGTTTCTATTGGGTTGATATCTTGAAGATCTTCAGGAATGGAATCTGCAAGTTGTTGATTGTTGCTGGCCCACTTTCGTAATTTGAAGTTACCTGACGCAAACATTTCAATGAGTTCCTGTTGTATTTGTATTGCKTCTTGTTCGGTGTCTGCACCACTCAGTAAATCATCGACGTAGAAATCTTGTGTGGCCACTTGTGCTGCGTTTGGAAAATTTTCTTTTTCATCTTTAGCAAGTTGATGCATTGTTCTAATTGCTAAATAAAGGCGCAGCTGTCGTTCCGTAMGTAACCGTTGTAAGCTTATATTCACTTATTGGGTCACTGGGTGAAAATCTCCACAATATTCTGTGATAGTTTTGATCGCTGTCAGAAATTTTAATTTGTCGATACATTTTCTCGACATCCGCCGTAAAGGCAATCGCATGAATTATCCATCTCAAAATGATGTCTATTAGATCTTGTTGTAATCTTGGACCTGCATGCATGATCTGATTGAGACTTTTTCCGTTAGGGGATTTGCATGAAGCATCGAATACAACCCTTAAAGCAGCAGCTTTGGCTTTGACTTTTGACTTTTGACTTCCAACGTGTAAGGGCCAATTGCCACTTTTCAACACATGGCCGTAGCCTAGACTATTTAATTTCGTTGCCACTTCCTTCCATGCTTCTTTAAATGCAAAGTTGTCTCCATCACTATTATTAAATTTATTATTTAGTAGTGTCGTGTTAGACTCTAAACACTCTATTAATAATGCCCAATGTTTTGGCCTGGCTTTGAAATCTCTTTCTGTTGCTAAAAATGATAACGTATTGTAAAAGAAGCGTGGACTAGTGTTACTTAAGACTCACCCATTATAGCACCATAATATTGTCCAACAAACGTACAATATAAACAGGAAAGTAGTCACTCAAATTTTAAGAATTTTTTTCCGGTAATTCTAACGTCACAATTAAAAAGTTAGAGAAATTGTAATTACCACAGCGACTAGAACATAGAAACGAGTCGTAAGGGTGTTTCTATGTTCTATCAGCCGATCCTTTCATCGGATGCAACGAATATGTACGACTGTGGTTACGGAGTAGGTTTGATAATAGCGCTAGAGCAAAGCGAGGAAAGTTCATCTCTATTGCGTTACGGAGTTCAGCTGCTGATTCTTTTGAAAGAGATGATTGCCCAAAATCCTTTCGAAAACGCAGATAGGTGGACAGTAATTCACGAAAACATTGTACAGGCAAGTGGAAGGTCCTTTACACTTCGGGCTGTAAAGGAGCGCTTGGATTATGTGTTGAAACAGTTTTGTAAAGAGGACACAAAAAAACAAAAAAAAGTAATAATTGTGACCTATATAGGTATATAATTATAATTTGTTTTTCATCTAGCCTTTACATGGTTTTAATTGATTTATAGGTCTGGCACTGAAAAAAAATATGACGAAAAAGAACGATTACTGCAAGAAATAAAAGATTTGCAACTTGAATTTAAAATAGATAAAACAAAATGCCTAGTAGCAAAGAAAAAGGGATAATATTAAGGCAACAAGCAGCGGTCAGTAGTTGTGCTAACACTGTAACTTTGTTAGCTAACGAAAGAAGTAATAACAACTGGATCACAGGTTTATGTATTTAAAAAATTATAATTATATACTTAATGTAAGTATGAGGATTTTATTAGTTGACGATGTGGTTGACGGCAATAGACTATTCCTGGAGGACAATACCAGAGAGTCAACAGAAGATGCAATAGAACATATCGATGATGAAAATGTACACGAACCATATGATCATCCATTGGTTGAAACGCCACGCCACATACAAGATCACTACGACGACCAGTACTAAGTAGGTACTGAATTTTTTTCATGGCATTATGTTATGAAATTTCGTGTGTCAGGACCGTCTCATACTCTCGCAGCGCTCGTAATGATCAGTTGAAAGGCTCTGCTTTAGCGTATCTCGAACGCAGAAACGATGTCGACAATGAAAACAGAAAACAGCAGCTGAAGTTGGAGGAATGAAAATTAGATCTCGAAGAGAGAAAAGTAGCGTTGGAAGAAAGGAGGCTGGCCTACGATGAAGCAAAGTTAGAATTGGAAAAAGCTGAACGTTTGGAGCGGTTAAGAATGGATAAAGAAATTCATAACAAACTATTAGAACAACTGGAAAAAATACTGTCTTTTGCAGTAAATTTTACAAAAAATTAAGAAATGTTTTCTACAAAATTGTTATTTAAATTATTTTTTAATGAAGGATTACTGTTGGATGATGATTTGACGATTAAAGAATAATAATAATAGTACGTTTCATATATTTTGTATTGTTTATTTCAATTGCGAGTTTTTGAATAAAAAAATTAGTAGTATTTTTTTAACTCTAAATGTAGTTTTTGTCTGGACTGCTATATATTTATTATAATACAGTTTATAAACATAAATATTCCTCTAATATTGGAGGAATTGTGTTAAAATACGAGGCCGTCTGACTTCCGTATAGGCAGGTGTGGCAGTTTGTATGTATCATCCCTGTAATATACATTTCCATTATATCTCTTGCAGTAGTAATTTTTGATTCTTTTTGAAGTCTAAGAAAGCAAATTCTGTGACAATTTTTCCAAAGCCCCACTCTACTGCCTGGCGAAGAGAACTCATTGAATTGTTAAAATTTTGCTGTTCTAGAGCAAGTCGTCTATTTGAGTAAGGGCAGAGAAGTAATTCTTTAATTCCATATGCTTGGTCACCATACAAAACAAATCATTCCCCTGTTGGAAACGTGGTGTGTTCTTCAAGCTGTGTATAGAGATTAGATTCTCGAAAAATGCCGGCATCATTCCGTCTTCCAGGATAAGCTCCTTGAAAGTTAACAACAATTCCATCAGGACATAAGACCGACTGATATTTCACACAATGAAAACATTTGTGTCCTGAATAATAGTTTTCTTGGTCAACTGAAGGTCTACAGATTGCCCTAGCAGTACCATCTATAAAACCCCAGCAATTTTCAAGTGGTGATCCCTTCTCTCTAATAGCCTTAAATTGAACTCGCTATTTGAATTTTGCCAAAGCGTTCTATGAATTTACCTGAGCATAATATTGTAATTTCTCTAAATTTAACCATTGTAGGTTACGCAAATTATGTAAAAGGTGATTATGGTTATCATATATAATATGCATTACAGCATTTGAAATATATGAAAGAGATTGTGACGACAACCCAAATATTTTCTCTAAATCGGAAAGTCGATTGGGGTATATTAGTCGTCTGAGTAAAATACATAATCCTTCTATACCTGCATTGTAAAATAATACAATTATATTAGTAAACTAAATTAGGTATGTGGAATTATTCACCCTATACCTACCATTTGCGACATGTCGGTCAGCTGTCCTAATTTGATGTGGAATACCAAGGGCATTGCATAATCTTCGGAGATGTTCTTGTTTAAATCTGAAGTTTAATTCGATGTCTTTCTCAGTCATTTGATTTAAATTTAACCTGCCATATTGAAGACCCCTGTTTACTGCTCGCTGATTATCATTGAATAAGATATTACAAAGAATAGCATTCTCGATTTCTTCATCATTTATATCAGCTAAAGCAGCGACTTCTAATATTTCATCCATATTATGAGTACACATTAAATCACTGACAATATGACATTATTCCCTCAGATTTTGAAGTTTTTTTATGGGTGCTCGAAAATGCATGTCACTGCGGTAACTATTTTTGTCAATTTCCGATACAACTATACACGTGTCACGTGATTTTTATGTTTTTGGAAATTTATCGTATGCTGTGCGGTAACTCCCTATTAGTGTTGGAAAAAATAAATATTTGTCTGCAGTGGAACGATCGAATATAATAAAGTAAAAAAACATTAATTGATCAAGAGCACCCTCTCATATCCGCGCAATTGGTCCTAATCTCTTATCAAAGGGTTCCAGCACAATCAACTTTAACGAAATCCCTATTCTCATCCTGTCCCATTATTCAGCGTATAGTTTCTGTTTTTTAAGAACCAAACTTTACTGCACCAAATTTTATAACGTGGATTAAAGATGTAATCTCAATTACAAGCCACACATCCTGGCCTTACTAAGACTCGCATGTATTATGAAGCGTAATCCGGTGACCGGAGGTAACTCGACTGAAATGGAAGTAGAGCAGGAAGATCGTTTGTTTGGAAGGATTAAGGTCGGATATGCAGACTGGACACAATATTCATAAACGAGCCCGCCTCGGAGGTCATCATCCTGATATCATTTTGGTTTATTAGTACGATTAGCCCATCTGTATTCATGACTTCTTCTGATTTAACGAGGACAATGTTCGTGCTTTGAGTTTCGCAGACTGTTTGACCACATTGATACAAAAGAGTGTAAATAACTGGACAGGTTTCGACTTCAAACGGCAGGAACAATTGAATGTGGTTGGACGGTTGAATGTCAAAGTTAACAAATATCTAACAGCGATATGTGTGACCATGGTCATTTCTAGTCTCCCAACGAAAACTATAGTAACTCAAAATTTACAGTTTTGAGAAAAATTGCATTGAATCTTTGACTGTTAATAAAAAATCAAGAAACTGTTTAATATTACTGAACATTATTGAGGGTCTATATTTTGGTAGTAACATTGTTTATTCCAAGAAAATTTTTGTCATTGTTTTTGTATTTTGGGCCCTACATAAGCCATCGTAACTCAAAACAAATTTTTATGAGTTACTATAGTTTTCGTTGGGAGAGTCGATTTGTTGCGGTAGATATTAGTCATTCAAAATTCATAATTTTTGCTTTCAACTTTGTGCAGTCTTCACTTTAAATTAAAATTTCTTTGAAATGGTTCATCTTAGTGGTATAAAAAGTTTGCATTTCTTCTTCGAAACTGATTACCTACTCTATCGATTTGAGCAAAAAAGAATTAGTGTCAAGAAAGCAAAAAAACAGAAAAAACACAGAAAATGTGATATGCAACTGCAGTAACCGGAAATTCAGTAGATGTATCCGGTTTTCGTGACCACCAGTTTAAAAGGTTCTTGCAAGTAACTGTTGTGAAAATGCTGTTTGAAATACGAGTACTTTAATAGCTATTTATGTATCAAGTACGCAAAATAGAGTTTTAGGGGACGAATCGTAATTAATGACGAGGCGACGTAGGAGTTAATTTTTAGTCCGCAAAAACTGTTTTTGGGGACTGAGTACCTAAAATAACCGTTTTGCGTACTATTTTATTGAGTCCGAAAAAGACTCATGTTGGGGACTCA